GAAAAAAAATTATAAGTTTAGGTACTAAAACATATCAAAACTGATAGTTTAAGTACTAAACACATTTAGTTTTTAACGGCAGTGTACTAAATTGAAACAAAAACTAAGTGTTATGTATGATTTTGAAAAAAATAAAATTTAGATACTAAAACAGACAAAATTAACGGTTTAAGCAATTTACCCTAGATTCTAATTAATGTTATTGACGCGTTAGATTTAATACCAATAAACTTACTCATCTTAGACATCTACAAATTTAAAATGCTTTAAATCCATTAAACCAAACGTAAACAAATGAATCGACTTGAATTTTAAAACCCGAAACACCATAAACTCGAGAAATAATAATAAAATTATCCCCTAAAACTTGTATAAATAATTACTTTACCTCTTATTTTTTTAGCATTTTAACCTTTAAAGTTTCATTTTGGAGAAAAATATAACCTGGTTTGATGAAAAATGTTAGTTGACTAACTCTCAATGTTTCATACGGACATGACAAGTCCATGTATAATGTCACTTCACCAATTATTATTTTGCTTCATGATGTTGATGACGTGACTTCCTCATCAATAAGAGTTCATTTTGTTAAAATCATTTGATGAAAAATTACTTTACATGGTACTCAAACCTGTATCCTTTAAAAATAAATATTAAACACCCAACTACCCAACTATCTTAATAATTTGATATATGCTTAGTAAAACTAATATACATGTTAAATTGCACTGTATACTTCTCTTTCTTTGATGCCTCTGCTGTTGAAAATAAGTGGCATCACCGAAAGTAAACCAAACTTTCGGTGGAAATTATTTAGTGGCAGCATTTGTTGACATTTAGAAAGGGTTGCAGAAATTGTTGATTTTTCAACAATGGTAGAACCTCAATTTTAGCCATTGTAAGTTAGGGTATTTACAAATTAGTTCATAAGCTTCAACTATAAATACCCTAGCTCATTTAGTTTCAAAACCATCCCAAAAGCATTCTAGCTTTCTTCCAATACTAGAGAGAATTTAGAGAGTTTCTTGAGAGTTGTTTTCTCCTTTTTATCAAGAGAGAATTCTCATTGTTTTCTCCTTGGTAGATCGAGAGAGGTTGTAATTCCTATTTTCTCATAGTGAAATTCTTCTACCGTTGCCCGTGGTTTTTACCTTATATTATTTAGGGGTTTTCCACGTAAATTTTGTGTCTTCATTATCTTCATTTTTATTTTCTCAAATTATCAGTTGCGATTTTGCTCTATCCGATAGCCGTCTTCCGCAACAATTGGTATCCTCTTATGGCCTGTCAGAGACGTAAGCAACATGATGGTACAAGGTAGAAAGAATTGTGTGAAGATATGATTGTTCCAATCAAATCTTCAAGTGAGAGATTGTTGAAAATAAGTGGTATCACCGAAAGTAAACCAAACTTTCGGTGGAAATTATTTGGTGGCAGCATTTGTTGACATTTAGAAAGGGATGCAGAAATTGTTGATTTTTCAACAATGGTAGAACCTCAATTTTAGCCATTGTAAGTTAGAGTATTTACAAATTAGTCCTTAAGCTTCAACTATAAATACCCTAGCTCATTTAGCTTCAAAACCATCCCAAAAGCATTTTAGCTTTCTTCCAATACTAGAGAGAATTTAGAGAGTTTTTTTAGAGTTGTTTTCTCCTTTTTATCAAGAGAGAATTATCATTGTTTTATCCTTAGTAGATCGAGAGAGGTTGTAATTCCTATTTTCTCATAGTGAAATTCTTCTATTATTGCCCGTAGTTTTTACCTTATATTATTTAGGGGTTTTTCACGTAAATTTTGTGTCTTCTTTATCTTCATTTTTATTTTCTCAAATTATTAGTTGTGATTTTGCTCTATCCGACAGCCGTCTTCCGCAACATCTGCTTCTGCCTTTGACTGTTCAAGGGTGAGGGAAAGGTTTGTTTCAATCGATTTAGCTTTATCTTCAGCTGTACTCATTGCTTCCAGCTTGGACTTGGCTCTCACCAGCTTCGAATTGAGGCTCTTAACTTTCAAATATGCTTTTTCTTTCATTTTCTTCAATTTTTTTGTTTCTTCTTTAACATGTTTCAGCTCATTTCTTATGATATCCATGGAGGACTATACTGAAAACCTTCATCTTTAATCGAACCCAAGTCTTTCTTAGCTGCCTCCAGTTGTTTCTTGATTGATTCCAAGGAAACTGAAGGTTCCAACCTTTCAACACTATGGAAACTATCATCTTGTTGCTCTGAGCAATCATCATCGCCTCTCGGAACCATATTGTCAAGTCCCTTAACTTGCTTCTGCTCATCTTGTAATAGTCTAATATCAGACAAAATTGCACCTAATTTGGTTTCCAACTCTTTTGACTGATCCGCCTCTTCAATTATGTCCATCCTTTTCTTCTTTGTTACCTCCATCGAAAGCGAGAACTCACCTGCTTCTTTCACTCTTTGGGCTTTGATTTCTCCAGCTTCTCTCAGAGCTTCAATCTGAGCCAACTCGGCTAGCACATGTTCTTCATTAGCTGCCTCAGTTTGTTCCCTGAGTGCTTCAACAGAAGAACCATTAGACCTCATTCTAGACCTCATTGATATACCCCTTCTTGACAAATGAACTCATAATGGAGTTGTATGTGTAACTAACAGGGTTGACACCCATATCAGGGTTTAACCCTTGTGATTTTTTTTTTATTTCTACCGCTTATGAGAAGAAGAAGAAGAAAAGAGAAGTGATTTCTGTCGCTTATGAGAAGAGAATAGAGGACTTAGGTTTAGGGTTGCAAATTAAGGTTTTATATTAAATAAATTATTGTTAAAATGTCAACATAGATCCTACTTGGATTAAATGACTTTAATAAAACAATTTATGCCATCATCGGTACGGAAATCAATTCCCATGTCAATGTCTTATTAACGAATTAACGACGGTGTGATGTAATTGCAGTGAAACATAAATGATAGTAATAAAATTGATAAATTTAAAGCGTCAGTGATATTTTTAAACCCGTACTTTAAAGGTGAATAGTATTTGAAGTAGTTAACTCATAAATATATTTGAAAATAGTTTAAAAATATTTTTGATAACATGACATCACATCTAGACATACTACCTCAATAAAAAGCATCTATAGTTAACTATTGATTTTCATCTATTCAAAAAATATTTTTCTTTAAAATAAAATATTAAAATACTTAAAAAAATAAAGTGATTATTTATACATACTTTGAAGTAATTTTGGTATTATACCTAAAGTCACTTTTGCCTTTAAAAAAAACACTCAATCAACTGAGACTATAGAGTCAAACCCTAGATCACAATTTATTAACTCGTAACCAGTGGGGTCTTAAATAGGGATGTAAATGAGACGAGGCAGATCGTGAGCTATTTGAATCGACTCAGTCAAAGTTCGATAAATACTTGACTTGAATGGACTCGACTCGAATTCTTAACAAGCAAAAAATGAGCTACTTGATATTCAACTCGAAAATATAATATATTAAGATTTTATTTAAAAAAATATAAATTATTAATAATATAACCATTTATGTGTTGATTTTTTTAAATTACAGTATAAAGTTTTTATGTATTTAAGGTTTAAGTTCGAGTTTGAGGCTTTAATTGAGTTAAGTTTAATATTTTCTTTTCTTTTCGAGCATCTTCGAGCTTTTACGAGCTTTAATTCATGATTTTAAGTTCGAGTCGAGCTTGAAAATTTTAAGTTCATGAGTTTTTAAGTCGGGAAAAGTTCAATTTCAGAATTTTCGAGTTTAATCAAGCTTAACAATACTTAAACTCGATTCGTCTCATTTATAGCTCTAGTATTAAAAACCTAATTTGAATGATTTCTACGGTTCAATTTACAAAATAATACAAGCTCCATGACCTAGATGTTCGCCTCGGGAACAGCCGACACACTAATACGTTAGTAAACAAAATGAAAGTGGACAAGTAGAAAGACATGTCTGTCAGTTTGTAACGTGATGTGTGTGTGTGCAGGGACGGAGCCAAGGTTAGTGTATATCTAATAATATAAAATGAGAAAAATAAAATGAAAAAAATTAAAATTTAGAAAGGTTAAATCAAAATAAAATAAAATTAAATTAAAAGATCTAAATACATGTTGTTCCTATATATTTTTTAATAATAAAAAATTAGTGGGAGGCAGTGGCCCCAACCATACACATGACTCCGTCTCTGCGTGTCTGTACTAAGAACACTTGTACGTACCATGTATCTTACCATTAACGACGGGTTCACCGAACTCGGCCCTTATTAATGGCGGAAATGGACAAAGGAAGGTCCTAGACTCTCTGCAGAAACCGCGTGGACCGTCCTCCAACCCACCCTTCACTGTTCCCTCTGCCCTTCAATTTCCACCAAAACACTCCACCTGTTTTATATTTTTTTAATAATACGAGATGAATATAAAATATATATATTCATATTCTTATGTGATCGTTAATAATGTATATATAATATAAATACAGTTATTCGAACTCAAAATCATTAAGAAAAATAATATTTTTTTTAACTACGGAGACCACTTAATTTGTTCATATCGTATTATTAATTTATCACACGTATATATTTGAAATCTTTAGTTCAATCGAAACTTATTTATTAGCATCAGTGGTAAACAGTGACGAATTAAAAAATATTTTTGAGAGTGGACACATACATATATTAATTATTGAAATTTTTTATATTAAATAAGCATAAATAAAATTTCAAAGTGAATATTTATTATAAAATAGATAATTAATATAAAAAATCGAATTTTATTATAAACATATGCTCATTCAGAATATACTTTGCATCCGCCAGAAGTCATTAGCATATATATCATTTTCTTTAAAAGATTCAGATTCACGAATACGTTTTAAAAAAAAGTCTAAACAAATTTATCGAAAAAAACAATGAATATTTTATTTACATTTTTTAAGAGACATCAAATTTCGTTTGGACATGTGGTTGTATGATTTATTACACCTACCTCACTATAAATACAGCCTCACTCGCCTTTTACACTCCATTACTCAAACCAACACTCGAACCAAGTAAGAAATCCAACACCATCAAGAAAATGAAGCTCTCCATTGCAGCTTTGCTCCTATCTCTCGTTCTTCTAAGTTCCTTGGTTTCAGATCCTGCACTGGCACAGCCTTGTTCGCGTAAGCAATTTCTTTTTTAGATTTTTCCGATCGATTTGATATAAAATCATGCATTCGTTTCTATCGTTAAGAGTTTTGAATCAGGGTTTAATGTTTTGATACCTATGTTGCTGGTATATTGCAGCATTTTGCGATGGGAAATGCAAGGATCGGTGCAACAAAGCGGCGGTGTGGGATCGGTGCTTCAAATACTGCGGGATATGTTGCGAAGAATGCAAGTGTGTTCCGTCGGGAACTTATGGGAACAAACACGAGTGCCCTTGTTACAGGGACAAGGTGAACAAGAAGGGTACCCCTAAATGCCCTTGAAAATAATAAAAATTCGAGTTCGAGTTCCGGTTCTACCTAGCGAGCTTAATGGAAGTTTGTTATAGTTAAAATTCGATCTCACTAATGGACGTTTGTTATAGTTAAAATTCGATCTCACTAATGGAAGTTTGTTATAGTTAAAATTCGATCTCACTAATGGACGTTTGTTATAGTTAAAATTCGAATTCGTGTTCGAGTTCTGGTGTTACCTGGTGAGCTTAATGGAAGTTTGTAATGGTTTCTATTGGGAGGCCGTATGTGTTGATGCTATTATAATAATAAACTTGTTTTGTTTGCTGTTCCCTTCGTTTATTTGTCTTTGGTTTTTATTGTTGAATAAAATCTAGCTTACATTTCCGCCGCCGCATCGCCGCCGTGTGCACCACCGTCTATCCATGTAGTTATTCGATTATGGTGGTGGATGGGTTATGATGGTGTAAGAAGTACAAAGATAGGTGAGGTACAAATACTTATTTTTTCCATGAATCAAAATAAAATAGGCTTATTCTCTCTCTCTCTCTCTAATAATATTAAAAAATTAAGTAGTTGCTTTTAATAATGAATTAATTGTATTTTATATTTAAAAGTTGTGATCAGTTGATTTTTTTTTATGGAATCTGTTAATTTTATTAAAAATTAGAAAAATTAAAATTACAATAAACGTCTACGATCACAATTTTAAATTAATAATTTTAAATTAAACTCTGGTAAATTAAATATATGATAAAGATATTTTTTTAAATACGAAAAAATTAGACACTTAAGATTACAAGAATCATAAAAGAAAAAGATTAAAAAACTTAAACAAATAAACTCAGATAAAAAATAAATACGAACAAATCTGATTGCATCGACGAGTCATAAAAGGGAATGAAGCTATTGACAGACCACTAATAAATCATAAATTAAAATTGAGCGTCGTAAAAAAATTATTAACAAACACAAATAGTTTATCCAAATCTAATCCGGAGGTCCAAGAAAAACGAATATGATAACAAATAAAGTATTATTTTGATCAATAGTGACAATATCAAATCTAACTCTAAAAAAAGATAAACAAAAATAACAGTTAATTTTACCTTTTCTAAGAGTTTTATATGTTTTATTCAATGTTAGTTATTTATTATGCTTTAAATAAAAGAAATGGAAAACAACAAAAAGTTTTATAGTTAATGGGTCGTTAATGTCATTTTATAATTATTATTTGGTAGTAGATTTTTATATTTTATTTAAGGGTAAACTATTGAAATGATCACTTGTCTTTCAAATTTTTACACTTTTACTCACTAGATTCAGAAAACTTAAATTTTGGTCACTTACATTATTATTTTATTAAGTTTTGGTCACTAAGATGTTGAATGTTGTTAGTTTTATGACGTGAGGGTTTTATTTTTATTTTAACTCTTGAACTTTTTGTAAAATATTAATTATGGGCCTTTTTGTAAACCCAAAATAGTTTATGGTCAAAATTTCAATTTACCTATTTTTTAATATGTTTTCTTCTCAAACCCTAGCTTTCCCACTTGCGATGCACACCCATTCTTGATCGACGCAGAAGATGAACAACAATGGGGTGTGCAACGCAAGTGAGAAAGGTAGGGTTTGGGAAGAAAACATATCAAGAAAAGGAGTAAATTGAAAATTTGTCCATAAATTAATTTAAATTTACAAGATATCCATAATTAATATTTTATTTAAAGTTTAGGGATTAAAATAAAAATTAGACTCCTTTACTAATGTGACACGTCATTAAACTAACGACATTCAACATCACAGTGACCAAAACTTAATGAAACAATATCGTAAGTAACCGAAACTAAGGTATTTTGAATTTGGCTTGCAAAAACAAATTTAAAAGATAAATGACCACTATGATTGTTTGCCCTTTATTTACTGGACATGTGATTCATCGAATGGATTCAAAATGCCAAATAAAAATAAAACCATATGTTTTATTGTTTTCCCCATACAATAAAGCTGTATGAAATGACCATCCAGCTCAGTTGATAGAGCACAAGGTTCTTAATCTTGAGGTCGTGGGATCGAGTCCCATGGAGGGCATTTCATAATTTGGAGGTCTCCTACGGAAGTTGCTCTCAACCTAGTGTTGGGGGCAGCCTACTATCTTACCTCCCCCTTACCTCATTATATATGGGAACAAAGGACAGCCATTAATAAAGCTGTATGAAATTATTAAACGTATATTTATATTATATTATTATGAGACAAACCTGTATATAAATACGAGTATGCAGCAGGCTATGTAGCACAACTCAAGCAAATCAAATACATAGCGTAAATTTAGTTGAGCTAACAACAAACGGCTACTCCGACCACCACAACCGTCAAGCTTTCGATCTCAAGTGGCGACGTCAGATTGTTGAAAAAAAGGGTGAATTTAATTGATGGGTTTAATATTTATATTAAATTCATAATCTTTTTGACTATTGTAAATTAAAAGATAATTTTTAATTTGAATATTAGTAGGAGAATTACTCTTTTAGTAAGTCCATTTAAAAATGTATTTGTTATCTTTTTAATTTTGAATATTAAAATATAATTATAGACTTTTGTATATTTCACATTAAAATAATATATATTTAAGTTTAAATAGTAAAATGAGTTTACTTTTTTATCATTACAAATTAAATATATTATTTAATTTGAATATTAGTAGGATAATTACTCTTTGAATATGTCAATTTAAAAATATATTTGTTACTTTTTTAACTTTGAATATTAAAGATAATTATATAGTTTTGTATATTTCAAATTAAAATAATACATATTTAATTTTGAATGGTAAAAGGAGTTTTATCTTTTGAATATTTTAAATTAAAAAAATATTGTTATCTGTTTAATGTTGAATATTAAAAGATATTTGGTAGAATTAAATCTCTCTTGAAATTCCCTATAAATAATGAGCAAACCTGTTAGGTTTTCCACAACTCAGTTTTCAAGAACTTCTCTTATATTGAAAAAGTTTTCTCTTCCTTGGTTTTTTTCGGTGATAGTCGAAGACAATGATCGTTCGTGATCTGTGCAGATGTGCTACTGTAGCTTATCATTAGTTGTTGTATCCTGGGAGACAGATGACCAACGAATTCGAGTACCAAAGGAGTGGTCGGAAATTTGTCTTAAGGAAACTGTGTAGCGACAGGCCTCGACTGATTCCGATATCATGATCAATTTTTTTGAATATTTCTTTTACTTTTCTAAGGTTCCAATTTAGTATCGGATTGTTACTCTCGGCTAACAATCTTAAGACAAATTTCTCTTCTTTTACCTTGCTTCATCTGAGATAAACCGGAATTGTGGGGAAAACGAAACACGAGATATAAACAAATTTGTTTCAGGAGTTATCCTGTCGTCTTAACAGGTTTGCTAGAATCTCAAGTGGACAAATCTGTCTAACAGAAATTGTCATAAAAGTAATTGTGGTTACTAATTTAATTTAGATTTTTGATTCTGTCTTATAACAAAATCTAAATAAACGAGAATTAATTTCCTGTTTATTGGAATTATTTCTAATTTCGGTTAAGTTTCTTTTACAGAAAAATAAAGACAATAAACTCTACCGGTTCACCTAACATGAATGCTGAGATTGTGGTACCGGTACAAAATCGAAATCTGAATGTGAGTCAATTGGCAGTGGCAATTAACTGCAATGAAAAGCCAGTAAAATTCTACGGAGAGAATTTCAAGATGTGACAATAGAAGATGGCTTTCTATTTGACCACAGGGAACCTTTCAAGGTTCTTGAAGGAAGATCATCTTGTTCTTAAAGATGGAGAAGACAATGTTACTGCTTTCAACATTATTGAAGCTTAGAAGAATTCATATTATATATGTCGAAATATAATACTGAATTGTCTTCAAGATTCACTATATCTAGTATATGTTGGTTATGAACTATCAAAGAAATTGTGGGAAGCATTGGACCACAAGTATAAAGTTGAAGATGCTGGAACTAAAAAGTTTTTAGTTGCCTAGTTCTTGAATTTTACTATGGTTAGCTCTAAACCAATAGTAAAACAAGTGGAGAAATTCCAACTATTGATCAATGGAATCCTTACCGAGAGAATAGTCATTGGTGAATCCTTTTAGGTAGCCGTCACAATTGAGAAATTACATGAACAAAAAAAAAAGAGTTGAGAATAAAAGGAAATGACCATGGAAGAACTGGTTTTCAGACTTCGAATAGAAGAAGACAATATAATTACTGCCAAGAAGCTCAACAAAAAAGAGAGGCTAAGGAAAACGTGGTGGAAGTCAAGGACTCCAAGAAGAGAAAACAACCCAAGAATAAGTCAAAGCTGAGACCTAAAGCTGGAATTTCCAAGAAGAGAAATTCCAAGACAAATGCTTTTAACTGTTGAAAGATGGGGCACAAATCCTCTGAATGCTAACATCCAAAGAAAGCCAAAGCTCGCGAGGCTAATGTTATGGAAAGAATGACTAAGGATATAGAGGATATATATCTATGTGTTGTGATCTCTAAACTCTAATCCAATAGAATGGTGGCTCGATACTGGTGCCACACGCCATATTTGCAGCGACAAGGAACCTTTCTCTGAACCGACACCTTGCAGTAATAGGGAGAAGCTCTACATGGGCAATGATGCGACTTTCGAAATCAAGGGGGAAAGATAATGTAGTCCTGAAGATGAATTCTGACAAATAAATCAGGTTGCAGAATTTGTTATATGTACCTGACATATGTAAAAACCTTGTTTCTGGAACACTCCTAAGTGTTCACGGCTTTAGATTGTTGTTTGAATCAAAAAGCTGATTTTGTCCAAAGGGGGAATGTTTGTGGGTAGAGGATATGTATTAAATGACATGTGGAAACTCAATGTTATCTCTGTAAAATCCAAAAACATGAATAAGAATAAAGTTTCTTCTTCTGTTTAAATGCTTGAGTCATTTAATTTATGGCATGGTAGGCTTGGAAATGTTAATTATTATGCTCTGTAGAGATTAATTAACTTGGAACATATTCCATCGTTTCATATAAATTATAACCATAAATGTGAAACATGTATTGGGGCAAAATTAACAAGGTCATCTTTTCAAATTGTTGAAAGAAATACCGAACCACTTGACTTAATTCACATTGACATTTGTGACTTGAAATTTGTCCAAACAAGAGGAGGGAATAAATACTTTATTACTTTCATTAATGATAGAAAAAGTATTACTATGTGTATTTGCTATAAGAGCAAAAACAAAGTTATAGAAAAATTTATTTTCTATAAACATGAATTTTAAAACCAACTTAATAAATATATTAATATGGTAAGAAGTG